TGTATAAACGAAGGCTTAATAGCTGGGGGAAATTTAAAATATTATAACAACATTTACAATGCTTATGGAACAATGATCACTTATGCCTTATGTTTCTGTAATACTTAAATGTGTCATGAGGAAATCTATAATACTTATTATTAGTGTTTGGTGAGGCAGAAATAAATCCACACTTCCTGCACCTTCCTTAAATAAAAAATAATCAGGGATTTCTCCGAGAATTTCCCCTGAAATTAACAATTCAGCACATACTCTTTTTTATACCTTTAAACGTAATGTAGGATTTTTATAGAAAATTCTTTAAATCATCAAATACTGCTTTGGTGTGTTTCATTACAATAAAAATGTATTTTCAGATTTTACCAAAAAATAGTAAAAAAGAATTAAATTAAAGTAAATAAAATATATGTGGCAAAGACAAGCCAAACCAGTCACTCGTCGCAAAAATTGATTTTGAGTTATTAATACAGTGTTAGAGAGTAAAATAATAGCTATAAAATGGTAAAAAAAATCATTCAAATCGGACATTTCCTTATGAAGTTACAAGTGTTTAATCACACAGCTGTTTAAAGAACAATGTATGAGAAATCAGCCTTCAAAGTTTATGATTTCAGGCATTTCTCATGCAGAAACTATCTTTAAATCCTTAAAAATTGTTGTTTTAACATTGAAAATGGGGAAAATAACAGCATATAATGTTGTATAGATATATAAAGGTTAGTTTAGCACAATAAAATAGATTTTTAAAAATTCGACATTCCAGCATGTTTTGGCCATTTTCTCTGTAACACGATTTGCGACAAGTGACTGGTTTGGCTTGTCTTGGCCACATATTATCAATTTCAATTAATTTTCAATAATTAATATACACTGTAACAAAATCATAATTTAAGATAAGGTAAATTCTGTTGTCATATTCCAAACAAGTGAATTATGAAATTACGATCTTGATGCTTGATAAATGATAGAAAAAACAACAAACTTGCAGAATACAAGATAGCAGTATATACATTTAATGTTAGTTAAACATAGATACATAAAAAATAAATACAAAAAAAAAGAAGATCTATAGCACCTGTTAATTATTAGGGTTATTTAGGGTTTTTTTTAAAGACCAAATATAATACCTGGAGCAGAGTCTGTTTCTATGTCACTGTCTCCACTGTCCATGTCCATGCCTGAAGAGTTACTTGGCTTCTTAAGTCCTCTAGAGATCAGCATTGCACCTTCACTAGTAGCTGGTTTAGGCCCTCTAGATATCAGCTTTGAAGTATCTATCTCCTTAGGGCTAGCAGCTCTGGGAATGAAGCCTTGAAAATGCATAGGCACCTGCGGTTGTTGTTGCTGCTGCTGCTGCTGCTGCGGTTGTTGCTGCATGGATTGTGGGAAGGTGTAATTCTGTTGGACAGGTTGCAGATTCTGGGCCTGGATTATGTGATTTGGTTGATGTTGCATCTGACTTGCAGAAATATTGGGTAAATTGGGCTGATAAACAGTTTGAGATGACGGGTTGAACGGCGATGGTTGTCTGTCATGAATTCCTGCACCTTTGGAGGAAGCACATACATCCGATATAGAATTTGCTCCAACCATAGTGGGTGGGGATAAGGTGGGTAGTAGACCTCTCATCAAGGACTTTGGACTCCCAAGCACTCCCTAAATTCAGAGTCATTTTTCATGCAAAAAAAACCACCTACAGATGTATAACTTAAATTCCACTGAAATACAGCATTACATTGCTAGCTAGGCTTAGTATTTAGTAACCTATACATTCTTTTGAGGGATAGGCTGGACTATAACAAACCTTTGTGGCGTGTCAATCTAGCTTAACATCTCACCAACCAGTTTGTGACGTATGGTTTCACACTGTTATTTTGTGAGACGTTACAACAACATACACGGGGCAAGGATTAGAGGAAAGGTCCATACTAGACAGGCTATTATTATGTCCTAGCTTAGGCCTGTAGGTTCACTATTATTTCTATATTCTCATCCAAACTCAACTCAATTTCATGTTCAAAGTGGTGGACTTGTTCTGAAAGAACTATGTTGTTATTAGAGAGCTTTCGCTATATCTCATTCGGTATGAGACACCAAGAAAAGTGCGATACTATTGTGTATGACGTTACCAGTTCAGACGTAGTCTTACTACTCACATACTCTTAGTCCTCATAAACTGGGATTCAAGCGTTGCTACCTTAGCAATGAATTGCAAATAAGAAATTAAATGTATTTGATACATTTCAATTACATATGAATATATATTCCATATTATTAAATTATTATAATAAGATATTGAGTAAATCATCGATCAAAATTCATTGCAAATTCAAGCAAATTTTCAGTAAATTTTCCACCAAAAGATTTTCTCGAATTTCGTATGGAATGGAAATAAGATTTTCTTGTTGTAACTCATTCTCAGACGAGATAACAAACGCTCTCTATTATTTTAAATGAAGTGCTCTGTAAACATATAAAAAGAACTGATAAACGTAGACAGCATTTGTTATTTTTTGCATCAAAAAACTCTCTTGCTTCAACAGCATTGCAACTTTAATATTGAAACCTTCAAATGGCATTTTCTATAATACATTGTAATTCATTCTGTAATTTGTATAATTCTATTAATTGCTTGAATACCATTAACAGTTGCCAGCTGGCCTTGCATTGGGCTGTTTGTGGTGCGAGCTTGTATTTGGCCATTGGCTGTGTGAGTCTGCATTGGACTGTTTGCCGTTGTTTTCATGGTAACGGATGACTGATTGAAGGAATACGACTGCTGGACGTTACCCGAGTGACCATATTGAAAAGCTAGATTTGAATTGAAATAATTAGTACAAAAAAATCTGATTCATCAATCCTTACATTAAACTACATAACCTATAAATTATAAATAACATATAATAAAATAAAAACAAATGTTAAATACTAGAAAGCAAATTACAGCGGCAACAAAAAGAATAAAAGTTTTTTTGTAAAATGTTCTATTTAAAATTACAATTATATTTTTCTGTAGTTTATGTGATTAACTGTCTTGTTAAATAACAACGAAAATAACAACATTAATCATATTTGTTAATAACAATAATATTATTACACTACAATAGCATAATCTACCTCCTCCATCTCCACTTGTGCCGCCACCACTGCCACCACCACCACTTGGGAATCGTTGACCCATTGGCCCAAAATGCGCAGAGAAATGAGGTAGCAACTTCTGCCTCTTTTTGTTGATTTCATCTTTGTCTGATAAAGAAACAGGATTTTAAAATTTGATAATCTTTAGGGGTTTTCCGGATTTTACTAAAGAGTAGGTCATTTTTAAATTCTCATCTGCATTTGACTCTACCGACCACATTATCCTGTTGAACATGACTTTTTTTTATTGGATAGTGGAATTAGTTGTAATGTCCCAAAGTGGATTACACTTAATACCTTTGTAAAAGGATACAGTCAGTTGTTTTGGGTGATGATGCATGAGGAAGCTTTCGATTTGCATGACAACATGACACTAGAATGGATTCACTCATGCGTGACCCTCCTACTGTCCTTTGTACAATGCAGAATTGGACAAATTTGCGTTCTAGAATCCACGCAACAACGGGAACTTAACGTTCTCGCAAACGCAGATGACTTCTTAGTGACATCATTATGTTCTACGTCTCACCAGCTCTCTATTTTCTACACCTTATGAGGAAACCTCTGGTTTAATTCAGAGGTTGGTTTTGGGCCCACTTCTTTGCATACGGCAGAAGGTTCTATTTGTAGTAATCTCATCACAATTGGAAGCATACTCCACTGTTTATAAGATGGGTACATGCCATGAACACATTTAGTCACTACTGAAATCTTATTTATTTAAATAACCATTATATAATCATCATCTGCTTATGCCCTTTAGATAGAGGTTCTGGGATAGTGCCAGGTCAAAGGTGGATGGTTGACCCTTGAGGTCGATTACTGTTTGTCACCACACCTTGTAATACCATAAAACCTCGAATAGAAGCACAATCTCGAATTAATCTTGCAAAGAAGCCCATCTCGAATTGAAGACCCCTCCTTAGTTTGCAAAAGTAGCCTCGAAAAATACAAATACAGAGCTATCTTTATCTATACTGTAAAATTTTATTGGAATAAGTAAATGTAAATTATAAGAGTGATCTTTTTCCCTACCTGACGTGTTTTCGTACCGAATACTCAGTACGTCCCCAAATACTAGCGAAAAATATTCGCAAGTGATTCGGGTGGGTATCGAACCCACGACCTCCAGGTATCTAGCCTGATGTGAATTTGTGTATCTTTATAGCACTTGCAGTACCCGCTGCTACTAGGGGATTGGATTCATCACTAGTCACCAAGCGCAAGCTCGGTGGTCTAGTGGTTAAGACATCAGGCTAGATACCTGGAGGCCATGGGTTTGATTCCCACCCAAATCACTTGGAAATGTTTTCGCTAGCATTTGGTACGATAACATGTCAGGTAGGGCAAAACATCACTCCTATGATATTTCCTGACTCAAATTCATATCTTTATAAATGTAAATTATTAATACGATTGTATTAATTTAAAGGGTGTTCAATTGTCAGTTAATACAGCTACGGAATATATTTTAGTAATTCTAATTGCATAGCAGGCCTATTCATAGTTTGGTAACAATCACCAAGTAATAAACTGAATTTACCAAATGGTCTTGGGAAGTAGCAGAAAGGTTTTGGTTCACTTTTTTCTTTAGTTGATCGACGCATGAGCTGCAAATGTACATGAACTGGTTTCGTAATTTCACCGGTTTTGTACCGTGGTGTCTTGAAAACTATGGCGTACTGTTGAAAAATATATGCTTAACAATCAGACACATAAAAAAATTATGACACTGATATCAATAATAATAATCAAAAATGTATAATGTGTCAAAAATGATCAAAGGCGCAGTTTACCCTTAGAGTTTGTTATTATATTGTTTTTAAATTAACTTTATGAATCTAAAGATAACATAGTATATACTATGTTTCTACATCAAAGTACTATGTGACACTACACTCCTTCGTTACCAAGCAACTTCCATCATGTGGTCATTAAAGATATTTGCCTCCAGAGCTAAGTCATAGTTTTTAATTGAGCTTAAAAAAATAGGAAGGTTAAATTCCCTCTACTCGTCTCAAAAGATGTACTGCTTTCTTTAAAGTGCACGAGCCAAATTGTATACACTAGACCCACTACGGTTTTATTATAAACTTATCCGAAAAGACTTGTTCCACCACTAGAACCATAAGAGAACGTGCCGTTCGAACCAGCGCCGATATTAATGTATATAGTGTGAATTATATAGCGCATAATACCGAAGTCTCTATGCACTGAGTGAACCGAAAAGAAAAAAAAATTGGAAAAAACTAAACCTAGATCTATCCTAAGCTAACCAAAAACAACACAAGCAGAGGAACTACAACCACCGCACCGTTCTCTTACAGTTTAAATACTACTGGCAAACAACAGTTGGCAGGCTCATAATTCACAGGTGCACAAGTGAAAATGGCATCTGATTTTACCTAGCCTAAACACAGAAGAACAGAAAGTGACAAAAAGCAGAAGAGACAGACTAAAAAGCAATGCGAAAAAGGTGTGTTTAACCCTTAAGATGTTATGTTTTACCTGTCTGTGAACATCTGTCGGTCCAAAATCAGCAAAGCCTTCCCAGTGGACGTTCTTGTCAGTAGTTGTCTCAAAGAAACGCACCTGAATGTCGTCCTTCTGGACCTTATCGCAGAGCATGTACACTTCATCACCGCCCTCTGCTGATCCAGAAGTACGGTCCATACGACAGATTTTCAGAGTGGTTGCATTTGGTGCCTCTATCATGGGAATAATAGTAATAACAGCATAAATATCATTACTAACAATGTACTGTACTTCATTTGACTATTGCTTTCATCAGAATAACGATGATTATGTTTCCCTATGGTCTCAAATCACACAGATCAAACAAATTCTTCATATTGTTGCCCAGGTTGTTGATATAGTTAGCAATCACAATTTTGAAAATCTAAGATTGTTTATGTTTTTGTTTTTTTTCTTTTAAATATATAGTTACATTTATTTTCGTTTACTAAGAAGTAGTCTGAAGTACTTGTTTTACCACCAGGCCATTTTTCAAGGGTTACTGTAATAAATTTGTTATTTTAATAAAGGCTTTTAGCCCTGTGGTCATCATTTTACCAACCAAAATTAGGCTTAGTCCCATACATAAAAAAAGCAGAAAAACTAACCAACAATGTCACTCTGCCTGTGCAACAAAACAACATTTTTGTGGCTATACTCAAAGAGTATGAAACATAAAGAGAGCACATTACGCTCTTTTGAGCAAAAAAAAAAAAACAACCAATACGGCCCTGTATGCAGGTATTAGAGGAGTTGCGCTGCGTTTCGGTTGTCATTTTTGTTACCCAGTAGTTCTCAGCACAAGTTGTTTGTTTACCTGTGTTCCACACGATACAATTCGTTCATAGAGAACAATAGTTAGATTAAATGTTACTATTTTTAGAAACAAATGCATTTTAAAATCTTGCATGGAGACACACTTTATGACGACGATTTCAACTTCCATTATTACTATGGGAGTGACGTATTTAAAAACGGAACTGTGCTCTCTTTACTACCTTGATTTACTATGATTCATCTTCAAAAAGGAAAACTTACTACTATCATATATAGCTACAGATATGACTGGCGGCAAAGGTTGTGTAAAATGCCCGTTGCTATCTGGTAAAAACGCCTGAAAGCACAACCGTACAGAGGCCAGGTCCATGTCCTTTGCTAGCTCCTTTGCACGTTGCTCTGCAATGGGGTCGGTCAGTTGGTCGTTGCTTTGACCCCAGAGGTTCTTCGACGTCTCCTGGTAGTCAAACATGCGTTTTTTCAGGATCGGGATCACATTCTTCTTTGTTATGTGTAAAATTCCAAGGTTAGGGAAACTGAAATGGTCACAGAATTTTGTTTGACTATATTAACATTCCACTTAATTATTATTTGTCTAATACCCTATTTGTCTAACACATCAATTAAGAAAGGGTCAAACCCAGGTTCTATTACTGAATATTTTTTTGTTTATAAAAAGATGGTTGTCAAGAGTTGAAAACCACTGAATGGTATATATAATTTCACCTTTTGTAATTTCTATTTAAAGTTTAACTTACCTTGCTGTCATATCGCTAGCTCCGACTTGTACAGAGCAGATTCCATTGGTACAATGCTTTCCAACTAGGCTGTGGGCATGAGGCCGAGGCATCTCCTCGTTAGTTACCAATGACACAACTATCCTAGCGAGCCCTTTGTAGTTCACAATCTTAATATATAAAGAGAAGGATATAGAATTTATATCTTGGTACCACTGAAGCAAAAAAAAAATCTAAAAGTACAGTATTGGCAAAGTTTGTGGTATGCAGGATGAAAATCTAAGATATTGGGTATGCGGACTCTTGCTTTTAAGTATTCAACACTCAAATACACATTTTGGGGTAAACTAGCTCTGTCTTCAAGATTTGAACAATCCTACTCTGGGATGGTATCAGTGGCAGCGCCAGCGGGGGAGCAGGGAGGGCATTTGCTTCCCCCACTGTCGGACAGGCCTCAACCCCCGTCATCCGATGTCACAACGAAGTGGATGGACCAAACATTTAAAAAAAATAAAATTTGCATATTCAAATAAAATAATTTTGATTGCAAATCCCTAATGCTGGTCTAAAAGCACAATTTGGACCGTACTAAGCCATAAAAATTCTACACTACCAGGGATTTTTTTTATTTCGGGGTTCGGACCCCTTGTCGGCAAATTTCTAAAGACACTGCTGGATATAATCAAATGTAGTGAATAAATATCATAACCATTTGTACCTTATTTTTTGATTTCCAAAATCATAGCACTGTCCTTAAAAGAATTAATTTTTAATTATATATCATAAAAATAAAGTCATGTAGTGCCTAATATACAATATTACAAAAATAGTATTTTGAAATATTATTTTTAAATATTTTATTAGAATTTCGAGAAATTGTTAAAAAAAAAAATGTGAAAACAGTATATACTTTACAGAAAAGTCTATAGTTTAAACACTTCTCATAAAACAAAATAAAATACAGGTCTCTCTCTAATTAAAAACCCCTCCAATTAAAGACCACCTCCAATTACAGACCACTTTTCTGATTATTCTAATTAGAGACCAATGCTGCTAAAGACCATGGAAATTCTGATCCCAAAAGTGGTCCTTAATTGGAGGGAGACGTGTATGTTGACACTGTTTTCTTTTCACAATCTGACCTACAGTACCTCACAAGAGGGATAAGTTTTCTTTCCTCTTTCGTTACTCATTCCAGGAATTCCACCGTGAGATTTTCCTTCACACTCGTACCGGAAACGAAAACCATACTGTTTCAGGAAAGATTAAAAGACATTATGTTGACCATATTCACAGATTATAAATAATACAGTTAAACTAGTCTAAGTTGACTTTGCCTAACTCAAATAATTTCTAAGTTGATCTTATTTTACATGCAAAAATTGTTGTGTTTTCCATTAATTAATGATTGTAGAACAAATTTTCAATTCCATTTTGGATTCAACTTAGGAAAGTTCAACTGTAGTGTCATAAGACGCAATATTTATCTCAGAGAGCTGTCTCGCAACACTACTGTATTTTTTACTTGCAGAGGGGAGCATTTTCTGCATTAAAGAAAATTATATGGAAGATAAAAAATAAAGAAATAGAATTAAAAATAAAAAATGCATCAGTTGACCAAATACTATAATTCTCCACATTATCTAATTACTTTCATTTATTGTAGTTAAGTGGTCCCAAGCTTGATTAACCTTGGCTATTTCTTAGTGAACATTTGTACTTTTTTCGAGAGGATACAATAAACAATAAACAATTTTCTGTTTCAAATAGTGCCTGTGATTTTTCCTATACTGTATATGGGCATGTTGATATCATACTGTATTTCACCCAGTATGCATCACCATGTCAAACCAAATCAGAACTGACCTTATCTTTCCACATTTTCAACTTTTCTGTGACAAATATAATACATGTAATTTACCCATGATGATGACATATCCCACCCATAATTGACAAATCACATATATCTTTAAAAAACAACCTTGATACGAGTGGAAATAATTACAGTATCAAAGATGCAACCTATAATAAACATACACAGTGGTTATGAAGCACTATCTTGAATACTGTATTATGTAAAATTCAGTGGTTTACAGCAACTATTCGCAATAGAAAAAATAATGAACAAGGACAATTAACTACTTTGTGCTTCTACAGTACATGGTTTGAGTCTACAAATTATTAGCTCAGATGAAACCAACGTTTAATTTAAAAAAAAAAAAAAATACTAAAAAACCTTAGGCAAGGCTTTTTTATATCTTGTTTAGTGAACCCGCCACCTACCAATAATGATTTCAAATAAAAAAATGATTTTATTTTTGGCCAAATAACACACCCGCCACCATGAAAAAATAAAAATTCAGAAAAAAATAAAAGTTTTTCTTTATGTTTATTACACCCGCCGCCGTAGTGAAATTTCCAAAGATATGTCATATTTCTTCCTAATTATATAAATTTAAAGATAAATCATTTAACAATCCCATTACTACACGGTAATACAATAGTCACCAATAATATTTTATTTTTATTTTTTCCTCCGTCTGGATACTTTTTGGCAAAACTACTTGCTAAATAAAAAACTATTTTTTCCCCCACTCTCCTCTGACAATCTTTAAAAAAAAAAAAAGTTTGAGAAACTGGGTATAAAAAAAGTTGCGCCTTACCTGCTTTGGTTGTTCAATAATCCGAAGATGAGGTGCATTCATGTCCATCGCATGTACAGCAATACCCAAATTTGAGTTGTCAAAGTCAGAATCAAATGATTCTGGATTAAAAGATTGTCCAGCCATCTTACAAAATATTCACAGTCTGAAAGACAAACATTATAATACTAATGATAATCTACTCACAATTTATCTAGCTTTCCATTCTTAAATATTATAAACACCTACGGTAACTTAGATTCTTGTGATTTGATTGGTGGATTTAATATCATATGACGTTTGGAAATACACCTAAGTTGCAAGTAATCTATCTTTCTTTTTCATCATTCTCAATCTAATTTAGTCCTGTTTCTATATATTTTTGCTATTTATTTTCTCCCTTTGCACTCCTCAACCAATTTGTAGTAAAATTATATTATGATATGTACTTTTAGTTCAAAGGTCAAATCCTGGCTATGGAGAGACACTACCATGCTTAAAGAAAAGTACTGTAAACCTAACTTAATTTTTCATAAAATATTAAATAACAGGAATACATTTTAGGTGTACTGTAACAAATAAAGCATGTGTTTAAGAATATATTTACTCACTAATAGATGAACTGTCCAATTAAATTCATAAAAATATTCTTTCCACTGCGCTCATCACTATTTTTTATACTATTCTCTGTATCATTAATTTAAAGACCATTTAAGTAAAGCTGTTTAAGGTAATTATAAAGCTCTGCTTAACTTCATATTTTTATTATATTTTTTAAGTTCATTTAATGCCATTCACTTCATTTTCATTATATTTATATTAATTTATCTTCAGAAATTTAAAAACAGAATAATAATGCTAAAAGTGCAAACAAAAATGACAAAGAGACTGGCGTGCAAATAAAAATTTATGTTTAATGGATTGCCAAATATAATTTTGATAATTATTTATTACCTACAAAAGTAAAAATTAAATGAATATTGAATTTATTTAATCTGTGGTTCACTGACCATTCTTAGTCCCGCCCCTTGGATACGGTTGCTAAGGTCCTACAATACAACATTGTGGGACATGCGCGTAACCTGTGGCCTAGACTATTGAATAAAACATTCTGATTGGTTGGATTGCTAGGTTTGATTGACACCTTGACAAAATTCATTGCTGAGATAGTCACTTCTGTAGTTGCGTGCAACAAGTACTGTACCCTTACTACACAGAGTCCTCCTATCAAATTATTTTAATCAACAAAATATGAAACAAAAACTGAAAATGCAACAGATAAGAAGCGAAATCATTCACTTCTTCCAGGAAACAATAATATTAAATATTACAGTAATAATAAGTTACAAATAATAAAGTGCAGTCATGCAATGTTTACCAGAAGATTAAAGATGTACAGCTGTCCCTTGAAAATGACAAAAATCCTAAAAAATATTTTTTAAATTAATTTGCTAATTTTGCACTAACATACAAATTATTAACTTGAGCATAGAAATTATTTTTTAATTTAAAAAATGTGTTGCCTGATTTTTTAACTGGATAATTACAATAATGATAATAAAATACTTCCAGTGACTGGAAGTGTTTCTATCATTTTTTCGCTGTAAAATGTTTTTTATGGGTTAAAACATTTTTTAAATACACTAATTTCTATGATAAAGTTGATAATTTTTATGTTACTTCAAAATGGACAAGTAAATTTCAAAAATGATTTTTTTTGATTATTTTTTTTTTTGTTTTTTGCAAGGGACAGTACATCTTTAAATGAGAACATGAAAATAATGAAAAAGAATGGGTGACTTGTCTGTGTGAATGCTTTCAATTCAAAATAAGGCTCTGTCCAGACTACCAAATTTTCTTTTGACAACACTGCTATATGCCCATATATACAGTAGTCATGATGTGCCTATATATGGACATGATATGATGTCATCATGACCATATTTAGGCATACCACGTTTTTGTCAAATAAAATTTATTAGACCAGACAGGGGTTTAGACAGAAAGAACAATGTTTTCCTTACCAATCAAAGGGATACTAATATTATACTGCTTATATTGCACTGTGTATTCATTGCAGTGACCTTTGACCTAACTGATGATTAATTCTTGTGGTAAACTGTATTCTTTATTTCATTTGTATTACTGGTCATGTACAGTAATCAATAGTAATTTATACAGCAAAGCAACACTACCAACATGATCACTGAGCCATACCAGTTTCAGAAATAAATTCTCTTATGTAGTATTGCTTATATTTCTATTGAAAAAGGATAAGGGAAGTGTTAGGGACTTTCCCTCAAAGGCTTCCACCATATTAGGCTATTCATCATTGAAAAACACTCAACAATAAAGTCAAATATGCCTTGAGCTACAAAATCCTGCTGTAAGAATAAACCAGACTGTAAATCTATTAATTACAACAGTTTCCAGTGAACTGAATGAAAAATATTTTGTTATAAACCGCATGTAAAATGTTCGAGGCTACAAATTACAAATTGTTGATAAACATCACTTACAAAGTTTAAACTTCAACTATATTTTAACCTGTATCAAAACTAAATACAGTACATATTTTTTTTTAATTCCTGGCGATATAAGACAAATTTATAAAATATGTATTTACACATTCAATAGGTTTACATAGATACTGCCACCTAAATCTATAAACTTGAAAATTTAAGTAAAATTTAATTGCTTTACTTTAGTAATACAGTATTTCAAATGGTTTATTATTTTGGAAAGAGAAACCAGGAACAAGAGACATACATTATTGATACCCGTTTTACCAGTTAGTTTACTTTTTCAAATTTTATGCTAGCAACTTAAAGATTTTCGTATTTTTTACTTTAAAAAATGTCTGTAAATTGAATTATTTTTTGTATCTGTGAAAGTAGCGTAGCTACTTTTGAGGTTCTTTTAGCACATCAATATAACGTTTTGCTTTAATTTTTAAAGATTTTTCTTGATTTTTTTTTAACGCTCTGACTGCCGGAGGTCTTAAAAAGTAGTATCAGCCACTGCCAGACTTTTTAGCAAATTTTAACACTTTTCTGAAGCTAGTTGAGAGTGCGTATGTGATCAGATTGACATGTAGTGAATACTATAAGAACTACAAACACTTTATTCTAATCACAATCTGTGACACTTAACAGTAAAATGAAAATGACTTACTTTTGAAGATTTACACAATTTCGCACAACAAAGCTGAGATAATCGCGATTTCGTGAAAGTAAATCAATACTGCTCTATACTAATGTAAACAAACAAATAGTGAATACTTACGGTCCAGACTGAATGTAAAAAAACCTAAAACACAGAGATCTCCGCGGTCAAGTGTTGCTTACCAAACATGGAGTTCTCCGTGTTTGGCGGGAAGAGTGTAAATGGCAGTAAAACTTTAAACAATAAGTGTAGTTTAAAGACATTAACAATTTACCGCCTTATTTTACTAGTTGTTAGAATATATATTACATACCTTACCATAAATGCTCGAATAACTGCCACTCTCGAATAAGCACCACTGCGCTTAATCGAGGGTATGTTATTGCTGTGTATGTAGAAACACTTTGAAAAAAAAAAGCACAAGCATTTCTTTATGAATTACGATGACGTAGGACCTATAGTATGATAGGCCTACTGAACTATGGGAATATGTGAGATAGGCTACATGGGAATGTGGGTATGGGAAGGGCTACGAAAATTTTGTTTATATGAAGCACCGCACTGAATTCTCCACAAATTTTATAAGCGTCGCGGTGCTTATTCAAGCATTTACGGTAATTACTAAAAGAAAATTACAAAGTTCATTTAGGTACCTGATAATGAGAATACTCCTAATCTAAATCAAACAACAAACAAACTTTGATGAAAGAGTGAGAGCTAAGGAGAAACAGTGAAGTACTGTATTGTTTGTGTTTGCTATAATTATATTATATCCGGTAGCCATGTATACAGTACAGCGATTTAATGTAAGAAGGCCCAAATGTATATAGTAACTCCTTGTCCTACGGGTATCATAAAGTAAATATTGATATGATTTAAAATGAGGATAAAACTTTATTATATTTCAGCAGTGCAAATAAACATAGGATGGTATACATTAAGGGAGTAGAAAATTACAAGAATGAGTTTGGCTGCTAAGTGCATAGACTGAGGTACCATTAATATACACTATATAAAACAGCTTTTTACCTTTAACATGTGGTTTCCATACAAATAAAGATCATCAATAAACTATAGAATCAGTTATTGTTAAAAACAGTGAAAATGGCTGTTAATAATAGCCTAGGAAAAAACCCAAAGTAAAAATGGTCATTGTTAAAAAGGGACTGAAGAAGTGCATTTGAAACAGGTAACCAGGAGGCAAAAAAAAACAAAACATGAACATATCATAAATAGTAATAATCATTATAATTTATTTGTTCAAACTGAAATTAACAAATATTTTGTATTTTTTTTTTTTTAAATAAATTTTGATCATACTGTACTGCAATGGGCCTAAAATGGGAAGGAATGTTGAATCACCATGCTACAGATCTCCACTTATAGCCTGGCAATAAAGATATAATCAATATGAATGGCCAATACAAGTACTGTACCTAGAAACAATTACAAACATCTGTTGTTTAAATTACATGTTGGTAGCAATATAGTAAATGTTGATAATTATACTCTCATTAGTTGGAGATCATCTTGTGATATGTTTAGATCCTATGACAATTTGGGCATGTGAATACCTAATTACCTTTAAAATTTATTAAATCTTTTTCAGAAAGAATAAATCAGAAATGTAAAATCTTAATACAGTACTGCCACATAAATTTTATAAAATGTGAAAATACAAAAAAAAAAAAATTATCAAGAACAGACATTAATTAATAGTACCATTCCTGTAGTCTTTCAATAAACAAGTTTCTGTCAACAAATTTAAGAAATTTTGTAGGTTTGAAACCATTTTATATCCATGACTTGACCATGAAAAATGACGTGTGATTAAAAAACACTGGTTCAACTCTGTACATTATATAATCGCCACCTACGCTTATGCTTGTTGTCCGATTGATCAATGATCTGCTCGAAACTTTGTATACGCGGACAAATTTTGGTTTACCAAGAATCTTCAGAATCAAAATTAATCTTTCTTGGAAAGGTTTGCAAACAGAT